AAAAAAAAAAAAAAAAAGTACAAAAAACAAGTTTCCCCCTGTTTGTAGTTTTGCCTAATCTGTCCCCATCGGACTCCCCAGTGAGCTCAATCACATCAGTCCATAGAGTGATTCAAAAAGCAAAGCCAAAATTATCTGGGAAGCAGGCAAGAACAGTTTAAAGCATTTTAAATAAAGTCAAGTTGACTATGAATTACCATGGGAAGGTGCGGTATCATCTTACCATTCCAATTTGTGCCTAAAGTGCTGAAAATAAAATGCCTTCCCTTCTGATTACCATTTACCTCAGCTTTCAAACATCACCTTCCAGTCAGGTTTCCTGTATAATATCTCTTAACAGGAGACAGATTGCAGGCAGGGAGAGTATAAACTTCTCCCTGTAACCAAATCTGTTGCTGTTTCATTAAAAAAAAAAAAAAACCACTAAATGGGGGGGGGGGGGGGGGGACACCACCCTGCCCTCTACATCCACCTGAACAGACAGGAGATGACTAACAAGAATAAACCAAGCAGATATTTTGCTGCTCCAGCTTCCGCACAAGTGTCACTGTCAGGTTAGGTTCTGCATTAAGTTGTGAGCCTGTTCACAGGATTTCTAGTTGCAGCTGCCATTGGCTGCTGCTTTTGCTGACAGCTTCTCATGGTGACCAGTGCAAGCCCCCAGCAGAGAGGGGACAGGCAGCTGCTTTAAATACCTGAAGCTGAAGCAAGCACTTGTGTCCATCATTCCTCTGGCTGTGGGCCTGATGTGCAGTAGCACTTAGCTCTGAGGCAAATGGAAGTAGGTTCTTGTAAATCATGGTTTGTTTAGTGTTCTGCTAAAAAAATAAAAAAAATAATAATTGAAAAAAAGGATTTCCAGGCTACTAGTTAAGGAACAGAAAAAATAAGCCACCCATACAAAACACAGAGCTGTGTCTAGAAAGCTCACCTGGGTCCTGCTGATACAAACAAATAAACTAACTCTGTTCCTTCCATCAGGAGAACCAGCAGCCCTTCGCATGAGTGAGACAGGTACAGCACAAATCAGGGTTTCAGGCTATTAAGTAATTGGATTGTGACCTTAATCTAAGCAGCCTCAGAGAAACAAGTAACAAGATTCACATGGATTAAAGGTGACGGTTACTACTGTGTCTATCAAACCCAAGCTCACACATTGCTGATGGAGGTGAAGAAATTAATTTCCCTTCCCTACTGATGCTGGCTGCCTGACCTCTATCTTGTACTCTTTCTTTCAAGTCAACACAGTCATCTTTGATTAATGATGATAGATCTTCACACTACATGTAGAATTGTGGCGACGCTTCCTCTTAACACCAGAAGAGCTGCTGCTGGGACTGTCAAGCCACCTCTCAATTATTTCTTTCAGTTTCAGATGCAAACATATTTCTAGTGTCATGCACCAAAACCTGAGTATATTTGGAGATGACACCTGCTTCTCTTGAGCCTCAAAAATGATGAGATAGGGAAATAAAGGACTACAGAGCTAAACCCTCAAATCTTTAGCTTAAATTTTCAAGGACATATCAAGCCAACTAAAAATGCAGATAACAAATAATGTGGTAGTTAGAAAGGGAACTCAATTACTTTCTGATTTCTGGTTCAAAGCTGTATATCGGCATTTGTCTTTAAGTCTTACCCTCCCCATGCCACAGGGCTTGCGAGCCTGCTCACCCAGCCGCTGTGTATGAGGGGAGTCTGCATGGAACCACTTTTAAAAATTCCTCTGACCCAAAAGAAAGACGACTCCTGCTGTGCTTGTATGAATGCATGAAGACAAAGCTCAAAAAACCTCAGCAGCTTCCAACCCTCAAGGCTGCTTTTTCTGTGTACACCGGGAAATTCTCCCCCTAGCTTACAAGACTTCTCTTTTCATTTTTTTTCTGGAAAACTGGCCGAATACAATCGACAAAAAAAATTTCAGCTAGTGCATGGAAAAATGGTTTGAAGAGACCAGTTTATACCATAGTCCTTAAGCATTTTTGTAGATGGAGTGGGGAATCACTCTTCCAATTAGCCATAAGCCTTTAAAAGTGTACACCAAAAATCCCGCAGAAAATCACCTTGAATGGGCAAACTACATTTCCAGCATATTTATATAGCAATTAGTTAGTAAAAGTGTACATTTTTAATGTACATCTTAATGCAATAAAGAATCAATGGCATATCTGAACTGTATATATGTGTATTTAAATAAACCTGCATGTACATAGACAATAGAGAGTAAATTACCCACCTGTATTTGTTCTCTGAAGGTAACACTGTACATACATACACTCATACTCTTGGGCCACAAGACTCCCAGAACTAGTGTCTTCGGCTTTAGGAACACCCAGCTCCCCCCGTCATCTGTGAAGTTTCAGGGTATACAGGGTTATACATGCAAGGGCTGAGTCCCTGGGACGCCGGCAGTCTTCACATTATAGCCACCTCTGCTCTTCAGGACAAGAGCTATGTGGCCTCAGAGGCACGATGTGCTGTTGAGAGACCACGCGGCAGAGGTGGGATGGTTGCTGGTTATGACTCAAACAAAGGCACGACCAGCAATAGTGCTTCCGAGGAAGAAGAAATTTAGGGAGCTTGCTGTCAGCATGGTGCCACCTCCCGTGCTCCTACCACTTTGGGGAGGATTCGTCTGAGTGCTAAGGGGGGAGGGGGGTTTACAGTGCAGGTGTCTGCATCTGAGCAAGTCACCCCTGGCTTTCTTTAGGGTGCTGTTCATCTCCTTTTAAAGTAGATGCTTATGCCTGGTTGCATGAGTTGCACCTTGTGCTGCACAGTCAGATCTCCACTGACCGCAATGGGAGCCTGTGCGAGCTCAGATGCAGGCACCTACGATGTAGGCATGTACCGCTAGGTGAGAGGAAGCCCTCTACTGCAAACAAAGCATTGATCTCATATTTGAGTAAGGCAGCCTCTTAAAGAGGGGATGAAGAAAGAATTAGAAAAGCAAAGGCAATTAAAGGTAGAAAACAGACACCATCTTTGGAAGAGGTTCTGGAAGAGCTTTTTGTTTTTCAAACATATTTTTTGTAGATCTCTGGATTCGATCCTTTGGCGTTTCTACCCACCCCTTCTAATAAATATCATTTACCACCAACAGTAAAGTCTCCCACATTAAAAAGCTGTCACTAAATAAAAACCTTCTACTGAAAAAGCTTAGCTGAGTTAGCTTGGCAAAAATGAGGAGCTATGACTACTCTCCATAAATACAGTAGTGGATAAACACCAAAAACTATTTAAGTTAAAGGACAATGTTGGCTTCAAAACAAACCAGGAGTGAACCGGCCATGAATTAATACAAACTAGAAATTTAAATAAAGTTTCTAGCCATTCAAAGGCAGTGAAGTTCTGGAATACCTTCCAAGAGCAAAAGTGAAGGCAAGACATGGAACCAATTTTGAGCTGGGATTTGATTAGTTTATGACAGGACGGTCTGACACAGCATTTGGCTGGATTATATAGCTCAAGAGTTTCCTTCTAGACCTTAGTTTCTACTAGAAAGGAATTTAAAAAAAAAAATCTTCAAGTAGTTGTATCACCCAGCAACCAGCCAGCTCAACACGGGCACGTTAAAAAGGTACAGATACTAAGAATCCGGTAACTGCAAGTTAACCGGGAAATTTATTTTGCTGTTTTCACATGAAGCCAGAACTCCTGTGGATAGATAGACTGAAGAAAAAGACTTGGGCAAATACTTGAAGTTACCAGCATCGCTGCAGTAGGATCTGTTGCGTAGTGCTGTAACAGGCAAACTTCCTGATTACAGAAGAGTTGCCTGCCGAACAGATCCCTTGGAGACAACAATGGCTGGAGCCATTAGCAGCAACACTGCGTATTCTCTGCATTTGTTCTCTGAAGAACAGCTTGTTCCCTCCAAACAATGAAAAGGATTCCAGGTCAGGATGGAAAAATTATTATGTGCTAGTTCTCAGTGATTAAAGAGAGACTTGGAGATTTAACAGCCTGCTACAGTCAGTCTCCAAGAGCAGAGGAGGAAAAAATACTCTAGCCAGCAAGGGACAAATGACATCAAACTCCATCTCCTGCATTTTCTGGGTCTTAGACCTGCTACTTATCGGAGGGCATACAATGCTAAATCTAACATCATCCTTACGGATGAAAATCTCACTGAACTTCTGCTTGACTTTAATACAAGATTGGCAGTTGTCTTCTTAGCTACCTTTGCTTTCCTAACGCATGCACGCTCACACATACATGCATGCGCACACACGTGCACACACGCACATACACACAAAACTCTTCATTATCAGGGCTTAAGGACCAAAGGGTAAAGAGCTTATATGCAGCCATGCCAACCTTTAGAGAACAAACACCTTATGGACAGATTAAAAAAAAAAAAAAAAAGGAATTATGCCATGATAGTCCATATCTAAAGCAATGACCTTGTTTACACAATGTCTGAGATTCATTTTGCTTGTATAGGCAGCTGTAGGCATCGGTATATGAATACGAAATCTGAAAGTCTGTCCACTGGAAAGCAAATAAGAACATCCTATTTCCTGGGTGTGAGCCAAGCTCACAGCCCCCACCTCTGCCAGCTCTCAGCCATCTCCTAGGTTAGGCCACAGAGAGCTCTGCACTAAGTGCCCAGTTTTCACATGTACTCTTGCTCTGATGTGCTGTACTCAAAGGTCTCGTTTATGGCAGTGCTTTAACACCATGTCCTGCTCCTGAGGTGTGTATCAGGACGGCCCATGGATTTCTTAAAAAAGCAAAACTTTCTTCTCAAGGGTAAGAGCAGATCCTCCAGGGCAGGTGATCTGAGTTCAGTCTGTTTCTGAAAAAGAACACATGTGTCAGATAGACTCCACATCCCCCTGCAGGTACCTGAGCGCAAAGTGGAGGTGCTGGCTGGGGAGGAGGGGACGCAGGTAGAGCTCACGGTAGGCAAACGCAGGAGCTGGCCCCTGCCAGTGACAGCTGCCTCTGGGGCAGGCTCTCCCTCTGCTTCAGTCTGCGCCCAGAACCTGGCAAGTTGGCAGGACAGCTTTGTCCTCTTCGGCTGCCGGAGGAGCAGCTCTTCCAGCAGGAAGCGGAAATCACAGCAGCAGCAATCCCAGCCTGGATGCAGGCAGGCTGCAGGGAAAAGCCATGCCCACACGCGCCCTGCCCGTGTGCTGGGGAGGGCCAAGTCTGGTACTGGGATAGAGCACAAACCCTGAAAACGTTCAGGGAGCACAGCTGGGTGAGGCTTTGGTCCTCTCCCCAGCATGGACAAAAACCTTGGTCATCCCCCCGCAAACTGCTTCTGCTACGCTGCGTTCCCACCCTGCTCCACTGGTCGCAGCCGTTTCTCCCAGCAGAAAGCACAGGACAATGCCCGTCCAGATTTTTCAGCTGCAATAAAGGCATGGCCCCATTCAAGCCCACGCTCCATCTCCTCTAAATTAGAAGGGGGAGGGAACCAATGATTTTTGGCCATTTTTTTTTTTTTTTTCCCAAGGCCTGCAGACATGGCAGAGGTGCGTGGGAGGCTCCAAACCAACTCAGCGGGGCCAGACAACCCAGACGAAGGAGCCCGTCCTGGCCTAGCAGCATGCAGGCGAAGGGCTGCGTGAGCGGAGCAGGCCAGGGGCCGTGTAGCGCGCAGCGGGACGGGGCGAGCGCCACGCACAGCGTTCCCCATCTGCTGGGAACCCTGCCAGAGAGGAAACAGCCCCCAGCTGCATTACTGAAGAACCCATGGAGGGCTTGGAAACCACCTCTCCTCTCCTATACACACACACACACACACACATGCGCATGCCTTTCAAAAGCAAGTCTGGGAGGAGGGGTAAAGCCAGCAGCTGTAAATGCCATTCCAGCCCTCCATGTCTTCTCCCTCTCTGCCGGCTCCATCTTCAGTGTCCCAGCCGTGCCCCACTCCAAATGCGGACGCTCACGTCTGGAGGGACGCCTGGAGAGCTGACGGCAGCTCACAAAGGGCAGCAGCAGGGGGGAGGGAGGAGGCTCGTCTCTGCACAGGGGAGCAAGCGCGGGCACTTGCAGGTTAAGTTGTCTTTCCCAAAGCTGTGAACGAGCCAGTGGCAGAACCGGGAAACAACAACTGGGCTCCTTTCTTCCCAAATACCCATTCCCTTTATAAATAAGCCCCAAAGCCACTTTTCCCAAGGCAGGTAAAAGGAACAGACGCTCCCGCTCATTTCATTCAGGCTTCGTTTACCGCCAGGATCTGACTTCAGAGTGGGGCCAACATCCCGTTACAGGTGGGCTGGGCCAGACAGGCAGTGGCAGTCACGGCATCTAGCCAGTCGATCTCCTCCTTCCCCAAGTGCCCCTTCCCAAGGGGGATTTCCCCACTATTGCTTCGCTTAAATCCCAAACAATAAGACTTGATATTAGACCCTTACCTAAAGTCTCAGTTTCCCAAATGCAAAATACTCAGTGCCTCGTGGCTGTCTAAATGTGCCTCCGGCCCAAGCCCTACAGACACAGCGTGCGCTGCCCAAAGCAGGGGAGGTCAGGGCCTTACCGAGCTGCACCACGGGCGGCTGGCTGGGGGCATCCAGGGCCTCCGCGCTGCCTTCCGGGCCGCCCGGCTCCCACGACTCGCTGTTCTCAGACACCTCCGAGCACGCGTCGTACGGCCCTTTTTGGTTTCCCGCTTGTTCGCCAGCACTCGGATACCTGTCTTCGCTGCCTGTGTCGGATGAGCCCCTGGTCTCCTCCTCCACCTTCGCAGCAAACCAGACTCTCACCTGCGGGGCGTTCAGCTGAGATCGCTCGCAGAGGCTCTGCAGGTCATCTTCCTGCAGCATCTTGTGCTTTTTGTAATAGTCCTCCAAAACCTCCCTGCCAGCCGGGCTGATTTCTACCACGCCTGGAGGGAAAATACCACGCCTGTAGTTCTCATACCATTTCAACTGCCCATTCTTATAGCCGTATCGACTATCTCCAAACCAGCGAATTACCTCAGCCCGCGGCAGGCCTGTCTGGGAAACTATGGCATCATATTCCTGATTTGTTGGCCGTTGTGTCTGCACAAACATTTGTTTAAGCAAATGCCGTTGCTGAGCTGTTTTTTTAAAGTTCAGTTTAGTTTTCTGAGGAGTGGGTGGCCGGCTGGAGCTGCCATCCCCTTTCTCATTTGCACTAATCCCTGGTAATTCGCCTTTGCCGTTGGACTCTGTCACTCGGAGATTTTTCAGATTGATTTTAATGGGACTCACTTTTCGCTCTGCTGAATTTGGGTTGTTGGTAGATGCATCGACTGAGCCGTTTTCACTTAAGGCCCTCAGGTCATCTGAAGAGTCTTCTTCTCCACAGCCATTTTCAGCCTCTTCCTCCTCCTGCTGAGCTGTTTCCTCTACCTTTTTTTCTTCTGCCATCTTTTTTTTCCTCCTTTCAGAGAACCAGCTATCAATTTCTCTCCGCGTCATTTTTGTCTCACTCCTCAAGCGATTCACCTCTTCATCTGGAGGAAGAGGATTTTGTGCAAAACTGTTCTCTAGTGCCTTCAGCTGCTCTGGCGCTCGCTCTTTGTATTTTGTCGGTGTGAAGTCGGGTGTTTGATGCCAGGATTGTCGTCTCGTTTGGTGATGAGTGATAGGTGTTACTGCTGTTGTAGAAGTTAATTCTGCTCCTTTGGGTGACACGTCAAAGGTTATTTCAGGCAGAGAATCGAGAGTATTATCTCCAGCAAACATGCCTCTACCGCCTTTCACATTCCTATAATGGTATCTCCTATCACTAAACCATTTTCGAATCTCCTTTGCAGAAAGGCCTGTAATTTTTGTCAGCCGCTCGACTTCAGCCTGGCCAGGGAACTGATTTCTGTAAAAGCTGCCTTTCAATGCGGACAGCTGCTCATGGGACTTTTTGTTTTTGTAAATATTGGGGTCTAGGAAAGTTTGTGAGGATATGGCTGGACATGCAGTGAGCAGAGACTGGGCAGTATTGACCACTTTCACAGACGATCCATTATTGGAACTCACCGTGTTGTGCTGTGTCACGGGCTGGGGCTTGGGAACTGAAGTCACTGCTAATGTGAAGGAGGAACTGGTTCCTTTCAATCCATTTGTCATTATCGGCTGTGTAACGAGCAAGCCCCCTGTTCCTTCTGGCTGCCCGACCACATGGCCAGGTAAAGTTGCCTGAATAAGATGCGGGACATTCCCAGGGTTTGCAACTAATGGGGTGTTTAAAACTGTAATTGTGGGTTGCGGCACAGACTGAATAACCGTGTTAAACATTTTTTTCCTGGCATCTTCTATCTCTTCTGGTGACCAGCTGATGCCTTGTTTCAACCTCTGCGCAGTAAACCAGATCTTCAGCTGCTCTTCTGGGTATTTTGTCACCACAGTCAAATAGCAGAGCTCAGCTTTTGTGGGGTAAGGGAACTTGTGGAAAGAGTTTTTCAGGAAGCTGTTAGAGTCCATGGCTGCATTGTATGTGGGAATGCTACTCAAGGGAATCATCACCTTGGGAAGGGATTTGGATGTAGGTAGCTGCTGATGCAATGGTGGTTGCTGCGGCAGTGAAACAAGTTGTGCAACACCAGCCTGCAAAACAGGCACGTTTCCTATGATGGAGCCATTCATTATGTGAGATGATTTTCCTGAACTTGCAGTGGACTGGCTGACTGGCACGGACCCATTTGTGAATGAATGCTCTCCATCTTTCACCTCTGATTCACCGCTCAATTGATTTGATACGTTCTCCTTCAGCGTGTGGATTTTTTTGGCCTCAGGTTTACCTTTCATTATCTTCATGATGGGGGTTTTGGTAATGATAATTTCAGACTGACCATCCACCACTTCCTCAGGGACATCTCCTGCAAGGTCGTGGCTGCTGATGGCATCACAGAGACTTTGTTCCACAGTTGTATGATTATCCTTCTTAGCCACACTCCAAATGAAGCTTGCTTCACTAGCATGTGACTCTGCATTGTGGTGTGACAGCCCTTCGTGGCTTTTTGCCAGAAAGTTGCACGCAACACACACAAACACAGGGTCTTTGCTAAAGTCTAAGTGCTCAGACTCCAGGTGCCCTATGAAATGATGAATATCTTGAGATCCAAAGTCACAGTACTTGCACACAAAAGTATCACTATCAGCAATACCACGGTGCCCGTTAGATAACGCTCCGTTATTACTGTTACTTGCAGCAGCGTCACTGGCTGCTGGCACTTCAGGAGGAACATCCTGTTGATTTCCTTCGTGATCATCTTCTACAGCATCCAGTTCAGTCTCCTGAAGCACCAGTGTTTTTACTGGTATCATGCAAGGAGTTGTGGATTTTCTTTTGCTAGCCATGACTACAACTAATCCAGATGATTTTTTAAAAATTTAAATTAAATTAAAATTTAGAAGCGCTATTGCAAATGCTCTGTGGTCTAGAGTCCAGCAAATTCATGGTGTCCCAAGGAGTTGGTGTCAAATGTTGACAAATGGTCATATTTGCCTCTGAACCTGAGGATAAGGAAAGATAAGCAGGAGTTAGTTCCCTTGGCATTAGACATAGCACAAATGTCCTGGTATTTAACTGTTTCACTCAATAAATCATTTTCAGCCTGTTACACTGGAAAATTTTAACTTGACCTTGGATTTACCATATTTTCATAAGTACAATCGGTGAATTATCTGTTTAAAAATAAACACACAAAAACAAAAGCCAATCTGTGATTTGGCAGCAGAGCAGATATCACAAGGGGAAGTTGACCACAGAACTTCCCTCCCAGGTGCCCCCCCCCGGAGCTTATTCTGCCCCCCACAGCTCTGATTCCCAGTTTTCTTTCCCTCCTTTTGGATTGATCCTTTTACCCCCAAACCCTCTAAGCATCCAATTCTACCCACAATTGGCATTTGATGTTGTGAGGTGGATCTAAGGAGGTTGTGTTTTTTTTTTTCAAATACAACTACTTCTACAGGAACACCAGCTATTTGTGCTGCATCATATGCACAATTCTTGCCTGCTGCTGAGTTTCACTTGCTCCCGTGTAGTGAGTGCCCAAAAGAGGAGCAATTTTCTTACCTACATAGTGCAGTTGTGCGATGCCTCTTTTACAGCCCGCATCACTGTGCTACACCTACTGGATACAGGGTCCTGGTCTCTACCATAAAAACTTGGAGCAGCAGGAGCTCACACTAACCCTGGGCACTACAACTGCTCTGCTCAGAAAAACAAATTCTCTTTTAAGGAGGAAAAATGCTGAAATTTGACCGCTCACTTCCCTGACAAGACAAGTTACCAGTATTTCTGCAGGAGAGAGAGATGCCTCGGCTCCCTGCGCACCCAGGCTCCTGCTGGGGCCTCCAGGCTCTCAGCTCAGCGGCACTCTGCCAGGCAAGTGGAGGCGATACCAGGCAGGGTCACCCTGGGAAACCTGCCTGGTTTCCATCAGAAAACCTGATGAAAATCAACACGTTCCCACAGAATGTTTCGATTTCTTCAAAATCGGCATTTTCCAACCATCCTGTCGGAAAGTTTCTTGCCAGCTCAAAGCACCATGCCCGTGCCAAAGGTCTTTGCGTGCAGAAATTTCTGGAGAGAGCAAGAAGGTTGCAGGTGGAGCCATGTATTTTGGCCATGGTTGCTCAGGAAGCCAGCAAATAATTTGTGAGATTCCCCCTGCCACCACCACATGCGCACTTTGTTTTTGTTTTAACAGCATCTGTGGAGTCTTTGGCTGGAACTACATGCAAGAGAAGGTAGGGCCCCCAAAATCAAGTGCAGGCAGCATATGCTTATCTCAGATTCTCCAGCCTTCCCGCTCCCACAACACTTAGAACTGTCAACATTCACAAAACTTAGTGAAGTGTGGGTGTTTCCTAAGAAAGTGTTATTTCTCTACAACACAAGTCCATTTTTTCTGGGCTCGAGGTGACCAGAGATCTGTCGCATTAAAAGAAAATAAGGAATAATCCTTTGAAAAGGCTCAAGTTTTATTCTCAAGTTAAAGCAATTGCCCAACTGCTGCAGACTGTGGAAGGTTGGGGCTGGATGAGTCTTCAGCCAAACCCTTGTTTCTGGCCTGATGTAGTTTTGCAATCTGCACAGCGGATGCTCCATGCCTGAGATCACAACCCGAGGGCAGTAAAACTGTCTGCTGTAGCTGGCACCAAGACTCACTTGCCCAAATGGGTCCTGGTGACAGGGAAAGCAACAAATCTGACAGAGCAACATCTTTGCCTTAACCCCTTCTTCAGTCTTTTACAGCAGCCCTTCTTTTTTCTTTAAAACTGTATTTTCCCAGATTGCAAGGTCACTTGGAAGCATATGGACACACTTTGTCATATTATAAAGATTCTGTGCCAGACTTTCCTGGGATTTACAGTAACAGAGATGGAGCTTTATAAAAACTCTAATAAAAACCTGGACTAAAAAGAAAAAAAGGCCAACTTACCACCCTACTAGATGACCCGCAGAGGTAACTCCTATCAACTAAAGCAGTTGTGCACCCGTAGCTTTCTTCCACCAGATTTGCTGAGCTGATCTCATGCATAGAGAAATGCACATCAGGCAAATCACTTGGTAGTGCTTATGCAATACCTCCTCTGCCTTTTTTTTGCTAGTAGCTTTTAGAATATAGGAATGAAAGATCCTAATGCAAAAATCATATTGAGGAAGTAAAATTTGGCCTCTGTAACTTCATTAGAAATTAATAAAAATTTTGTTCTAGAAAAAAATTGTTAGCTTTAAAATAGAAGAGCCTGGATGGTCAATTCTGGCCTCAGCAACTTTTAGGCACAATTTAAAAGACTGATGGGAAAACGTAACTTCCCGTTAACGCGGGCTGATCTGAGATTACAAAATAGTCCTGTAAATAGTGTTAGTCATCACTGAACTTGGCATCAGAAAAGACTGTTTGCTATGCTAATGCTTCATGAAAAGTCTGAAATTATAACTTAAAAAATCTATAAATAAGAAAGTATTAATGCTGCGCTCTGGATTTAGATGGTGTGAAATTCATGCTCTCAATACCTGCTTTATGCCACTCTTATCCCACCTTTTTGTGGTTAGTCTTTTCCTCCGCAGAGGGCCAGAAAGTTATTCATTAGCATTAACAAGTAGAATACTTGGATGACTATGAATGGGCTTCGCTATTCAGGAGGGAACAGCATCAATTTGACATTGCTCCCAAGATCCTCATTTTTGATGCTAAGTTAAATATTACACAATCTAGCAGGGTACAATGACCTCTCCCAGTCGAGTCAATTCGGAAAAAACAATAAGAACAGCCTCAAGGCTACAAAATATAGCTTTAAAAGCTGAAAAGAGTTCAGTGTCATGGAAGCAACAGTAAAAGTGAGTTCTGTTACTGCACAGAGATCCACGGAGTTACATTCACCTCCTTTACTGCATGAAGTTTTCACTGATACTTGCTTGATTTCATTCTGCAGCTCTAACACAGGTTAGGGAGAAACTGCCAGGCCCTCCCCGCACGTTTTGCGTTTTCAGCAGAACTATTCACAGAGATCCAGCTCCGGAACCTCTGTTACTGGAGACAGCTCAAGCCCCACATGGACCTTACATTGTGTTTATAGAGTCATCAGATATCAAAAACATGATTTTTATCTGTCAACTGATTAAATTTGATACCGAGCAATCGAGAGAGACACAAAAACCCCCACCGTGCCATTTTTACAGAGTGCCTCTTCAGAGCATGTAGTCAGTATCATTTTGGGTAAATCTGAATGGTCTGACCCCCCTGCAGAGAATCTACAAGCACTGCATTTCATTTACCAACACGTTTGCATCAAGCTCAGGGCTTTCTCCAACAAGGTTTGTGAAAAATGCAATCAAAGCAGCACCAGCCAACACAGCTCCCCTGCTGGCGATCCAATATTAATGCCACCTGAGAACACAGATTGCAAATTTAGCTGGAAGTGAATCACTGTGTCAATTTACTAGGAAAAAAATTAATCGAGTGTACTGTTTGTCCGTTTCATTTCCATGGAACAATTACATAACCACATGTTAAGAGCATGTTTTATTCACTGCTCACCTTCTGGAACGCGCTAATACTTTAATGCACCACTAATACGTAACAGAACGTATAATTCATCCCTTTCGCTGTCATTAGAACAAGCAAGGCTGTTTTAATGGGTAGGTTAATTTAATGGCAGAAAAATTATTCAATTAAAAATCAGCCTCACAATGGAGCTCAGCATACCACCACTGTAAATGTTTCAAACTGGTCTGTATAGTCCTGTGTGAAGAACCCGATTTACTCTACAATTGACTAGAACAAGGAAACATTAGCTGAACAACATACATTTACCTGGCAGTCAGGAAGACAATGGGATTATGCTAAAATTGATAGGTCCTTTAATCCACACCTGCTAATTCAATAGCGAAGTAAAAGAGCAAGCAGAAGCCACCGCTCAGAAATGACCCGTGTACTTACCCCTGCCACTGTCTTTGGAAACAGTGCCTTAAAGCAGAGTCAAGCTGATTTGGTCCCAGTGATGCTCACAGTCAAGCTAACAACAGAAGGAAGAGCAGCCAGAAGGGTATTTTGGCCCAGGTCTACAATGCTATCTGATCCCACCTTAGCACGTGGCTGGAAATGTGTTTACCTCGGGAACCGGCTGTGTGGCAGATGCCTGTTCAGTCATATGATAGAAAAGACAACTGTACCGTGGTCAGGTCTTGGAAGTGCTAAGCAACCGCTACCATGCGCGGTGCAGGCACAGCCGTGGCACAACGGGAGTGAGGTGGTACACACAACACGTTTCTGGTCCTGGGACGCAGGACAATCAGCTGTGCTTTTGCAAAAGAGGACAACAGGCACAAACCCGGAGGAATGGTTTTGGCTGGCTTGCGGTTCCCCATCCCCAGAAACAAGGCACTGATTGCTTGTCTACATAGCTCCTAAATGCAAACAGTAAAAAAATAAAAAAGGAAAGGAAAGGAAAAATCTGCTCCATTGGTAGAAGCAGTTTTATGCGGTTCTCCCCACGTTATCACAACAGGGACAGACAGCTCAGTTGTTATCTATCAGTTTCTCAAGGGCTGCGACTCAACAGCAGCGAGGGCTGTGTTCAGACCCAGCTGAGAGATGAGGGGAAGGTGGACAGCGAGCACGTTCCTGCCCTGCCCGGGCTCTGCCGACCTCTCACCAGTATATGAAGGCACACACCCAGTGACCTGTCTCCAGCTTAAAAACAAGAAAAACGAGCCCCACAAAACCTCCTGAGACTACGATTTAAACTATCCCTTGAGGTTCAGAAAAAGGTAACAGAGGAGGCAGATATAAACTGTTAAATCCAGGATCCTAAGCTATGAAAACAGCATAGCATTTTCATTAAAGACGGCCCTAAAACTAAAATGCTGCTTTAAACGTTCCCTTCCTGCAATACTTTCCCTA